AAAAGGTTCCGGAACAAGGCGATGAATTGCCGGGACCCGATCACCGAGGAATTCATTCTCCAGACTTGCCACAACAACCTCGCATTGGACGTATTGGAGGCAATGGGGACAGCACCGTCTGACACTTGGAAGGATCTGAAGGTGCGCGGTGAACAAGCCGAACGCTTCCTTAAAAGGAAGAAGGCCGAAAGGAACCAACCGACGGTTAATCTGCTGGACTCAAACTTCGCTTCCCGTGGTAAGGGCAAAGCACCTGCAGCTGCTGGTGGTGCTAATCAAGCGTCACAACAGCAATCCCGAAGGCAGCAGAAGACTTCGGGTCCGAGACTCCAGAGAGAGTATTCCTTCAAGGACGAAGACGTTCCAACCATCTTCGAATCGCTCCTCGAAGGCAACAAGATCAAGCTACCACCTATCACGAATCAGGAGGAAGCTGATAACACTACGGACCCAAAGTACTGTGCATACCACAGAAGGGTTGTTCATCCCACCAAGGATTGCTTTGCTCTCAGGAATAGCATTCAGACCTTGGTCGAAGCCGGCGTTATAACGCTAAGGTAAGCCAAATAAAAACGGCAAAACTCCGACCGGTATAAGAGTATAAACTGCTTCCTGACACTCCAAAGAGTATACGAGTATAAACTGTTTCTCAATCCTCCGACCGGTATAAGAGGTTAAACTACTCCCTGATACTCCAATAGGTATATGAGTCTAAACTGTTTCCCCACTTTTGACGGGAAGTTCCTGGAGAATATTAAGCTAATATTCTTAAGGATAACCCGGTTAGTTAACTGATAATAATGTCCGAACCAGTTCCGCAGAGGAAACTGGGGGTGGACGATTTATGTAACGGGAAGTTCCCAAAACCACAGCAATGTAATGAATAAGGACTCCCATTCAAGTTCTCACTGTGTCTGTGCACTCAACACTCTCTCTGTTAGAGTCTGGACGTAAAGTTCCTGATTGGTCAAACCTTCTTACAGTTAGGACCACAGTCAAAATCCCCTCTCGATTCTCCCAATGAACGAGAGGTCCACAAATCAAGCGATCAAACCTTCCTACAGTTAGGATCGTCTTAAACCTTCCATTCGGTCAAACCTTTCTACAGTTAGGACCAAAACCAAAAACCCCTCTCGATTCCTCCAATGAACGAGAGGTCCACTTTCAAATCGAGTGATCAAACCTTCCTACAGTTAGGGTCACCTCAAACCTCCCACTTGGTCAAACCTTCCTACAGTTAGGACCAAAACCACGATTCATTCTCGATAAACGAGAAATTCATCTTTAGTTCGATAATCAAACCTTCCGACAGTTAGGGTTATCCGAATCTTTTTGATTCTCGGAGTGGAGATCCCACTCTTAGTTTCACCTTTCCGGATTCTGGGGGTGGAGATCCCACCTCGAGTCTCCTTTCCTTCTTTGTTCGGGGAATAGAATATAAAATTCTTCCTTCCCCATACCAATCCTTTTCGAAGAATTCAGGATTCATCCTAGGAAGTTTATCCCGAATCCTAAGCAGGGATAAGTCTGCGCCTAACACGCGCTGCCGGTTTAGTCTTTTTTCTGCACAAAAAGACACCAGAGTTCGATTCTGGGGTATTCTATCCTGAAACCTAAGCAAGGATAAGTCTGCGCCTGACACGCGCTGCCGGTCAGTTCTTAACCGTTTAAAAAGAACACCCGTTCACATATTCAACATTGTGACAGGTTGTTATTAATAACACCAAAATCCATGCCTTACACGCATGGGGAATTTCATCCTGAATCCTAAGAAAGGATATGCCGACGCCTAACACGCGTCGCCGGTTTAGTCTTTCCCCGTAGAAAAAGACACCAGAGTTCGATTCTGGGGTATTTTATCCCGAAGCCTAAGGAGGGATAAGTCAACGTTTAATACACGTTGCTGGGTAGCCTATTCCCATGACAACGGCGAAGTCTATGTATTCAAAGTCATAGCAACAAGTCTTAGAGGATTCAGTCTCTAAGCACAACGTTACATGCGGAACGGATTTAGACAATTCGCATGCTAGCCCGACTCAAACGGTAGTCGGTAAAGGTTAATCAAATCCGTTAAAGGCTTGGGGTTAGCCAAAAATCCTAAAGTCAGCGCCTAACACGCGTCGCCGGGTAGTCTATTCCCGTGAGAAAGACGAAGTCTACGTATTCGAAGTCGTAGCATCAAGTCTAAGGGAGTTCATTCCTTTAGCACAACGTCACATGCGGAACGGACTTAAGACAATCCGCATGTAAGCCCGATTCAAACGGTAATCGGTAAAAGCATGACAAATCCGTTGAGGGCTGAGGATTTGCCAAAAATCCTAAGTCAACGTCTGATACACGTTGCTGTTTAGTCTTTTCACAGGAGAAAGACGAAGTCTACGTATTCAATATCGTAGCACTAAAAGAGTTAACTCTTTTAGCATAACGTCACATGCGGAACGGACTTAAAACAATCCGCATGCTAGCCCGACTCAAACGGTAGTCGGTAAAGGCGCATCAAACCCGTTGATGGCTGAGGATTTGCCAAAAATCCTATAAATATGCGAGTCATTGACGCATCAACTTTATGAGTTGGTCTCGTGACTCGAGCATCCAACGACCTTGGGATAAGATCCATGCTCCAATTCCTTAAGAGCTTAAACCGTGTGTACTCCAGCAGACGTACGAGTATAAACTGTGTCAAATGCCGAACAGTGCATCATAATGAAGCCTGGACGCCGGACAACGCGTCGCAATGAAGCTCAAACGCCAGACAACGCGTTATAGATGAAGATTCAACGCAGTCAATCGATGATAAGTTCTGTGTTGAAGCAGCAAACTCGAGCCAAAAAGTCAAGAAATCAAGAATCGACTTCAAGTTCAAATTCCAACAACGGTCAGACAATAAATGCAGCACCGGAACCCCTACAGGCATTCTACAAAGCACTGAATAGCCTGAAGGAATTGAAGGAATCCAGAACAGAAGTCATTCCAGAGTCCCGTTACACCGACTGAAGGTTGGGGCAATCACATCCAAAGTATTCCAGACTCTTCTATAAAAGAATGAGACTGAAATACTTTGGAGGGGGTATCTGTAGGCGTATAAAATTGCCTATAGGTCCCTTAGCACAGCTCGACGCCGATTTAACAAACGGACCACCGGGCGACGTATCCAAACAAGACCGTTAGCTCGCCAACGCTGAAGCCAAGCTATACGCAACGGAGCAGGTTAACGAGGCGACAAATCGCACCCAAGCATTGGAATGCATCCACTCGCACGCGGAATCAAACCAATGTTTAGGTGAATCACCGAGTCATCTAAACAAGAGCGAACTCGGATGAATCACGATCAAATCAACATCAATTCCGGACTCAAATTCAGAAGTTGATTTACTGCCATATCAGGAACCCGACTCACTGCCAAATCTGGAATCAAGTCAAAGAGTCGTTGCCAAGTCAATCAACCACACAAGAGAACCAGAACCGGAAACAAAGGACGAAACGGACAAACACCCGGGGACTCGGCCGAAACCGAACCACCCCAGGGTGGCTCGGCCAAAGCCGAGCCACCCCAGGGTGGCTCGGCCAAGGCCGAGCCACCCTGAGGTGGCTCGGCCAAAGCCGAGCCACCCCAGGGTGGCTCGGCCAAGGCCGAGCCACCCTGAGGTGGCTCGGCCAAAGCCGAGCCACCCCAGGGTGGCTCGGCCAAGGCCGAGCCACCCTGAGGTGGCTCGGCCAAAGCCGAGCCACCCCAGGGTGGCTCGGCCAAGGCCGAGCCACCCTGAGGTGGCTCGGCCAAGGCCGAGCCACCCATGGGTGGCTAGGCTCAGAACTGTGCAAATGCACAGTTCTGAGTGCCTATAAATAGGCCTTGTGCTCATTTGTTTCAGAGGTTGGAAATTTTGGAGAGAGGCGAAGCCCTGCTGGATTGAAGACTCAGATCTAAAAAAGATCACAACTTTGAAGGCTTGGAGACTTGGACTTTCAGATCCGGTGCTCGGCGATCACCAACGCCAAATAAGGCAGGAGTTCGAGAGGATTGGATTTGAGATCTACACGATCACACTCCGGATCTAAGCTTGGTTCTTAGATCCCGAGATTCGAGCGGTTGTTTCCTTGGTGAAACAATCCCTCCCGGCTATTATTCCCTTGGTGGAATATTACCCGTCATATCGTGTAGATCCGACCGGATCGAGATCACGCGGTGGTCCACGGCAAATAACCCCGGCGCAGGCAAAGAACCCACCAAAGCGAGCGACCGCAAAACAGGAGCTCGCGATTAGTTCGACAAATAAGGAAAATTGCAATCTTTACTTTGTTTTCTTTGATTTTTCATTGTAACCGGATCTTATAAAAAGACCGGATCTTTGTAACGCATAAAGTTGTTAACTGAGATAGCAATGATATCAACAATGAAGAAAGCCACAATTTTCCCCGCGAACACCTCCCTCAAACTCAGTCTCACGCCCTCAATCCCTAAAATCCCATTCTCATTTCCCAGCCGCCACTCTCTCACTCTCTGTCCGCCTCTCTCACTTCCTCAGTCCACTCTCTCACTCTCTCTCACTCGTCACTCCTCAGCCGCTAGCCGCTCGGAACTCCGCCTCCTTAGAGAAATGGCGATCGAGAAGACGAAGCTGGCGATCGAGATTCCATGATCCTCTTTTTTTCTTTTTTTTTTCTTTTTTTTCTTTTTTTTTGTTTTGTTTTGAAATGAAGTATTTGCTTTTTTGCTCAGATGGACAATTTTGGTTTCCCCCCTTCCATTTTTGGAGATCTCTGGTTTGGAAAATTATTGCATCTTTAAAACTCGGAATCAGTAGACTAGCAGTTTAGTTAAAGAGTAGAGAGCAGATGGCTAGCTCAAGATTAAGCTGTATGCTTGTTTAGTGGAATGAAGAAAAAAGAAAGTTAGGGGCTTTGTGTTAATTATGGGGTCAGAAAATGCAAAATTTTGATCCATGGTTTTATTTGATAAGATTTTCATCGCTTGAGTTCAATTGGGATCCATGGTTTTGATGTAGGTTGTGCGACATTTTAATTGTAGCTGGGCATGAAGTTCATGTTGTTACGGGTGCTCCGGACTTTGGTTTTACTAGCGAGATTCAGTCTCCCAACCTCCACATTCGCAAGGTGAAATATAGAGAGTAGACTCCTTTTTTTTTTGAGAAACTGTCAATTTCTTTGTTGATATTTTAATGGTAGTTGCAGGTGACAGGACGTGCTGGATTGTGGAGTTGTGCAAGCTGATGCATTGACAGTGGACCGTCTGTCCTCCTTGCAGAAGGTATACTCAATCATGGATAGATAAGAGAACATACTTCTACTTGGTTTTTAGCTTATCATATGCTTCTCATGCTTTCCACAAAGTATTGCTCGTTTCAGTTATGTGATTTTCTTTTACTTTCGGTGAGATTGGGCTATATAGATTTGTGTTGCTTCGTTAACTTATTATTGTATACTTCTGAGCTCTGCAGTACTCCGAGACGACTGTGGTGCGAAGGCCTTCCATTTTGGCAGCAGAAGTATCAGAGAATGATATGTTGATACTTTCAGAGGTAAGATTTTTTTTTCTTTGTATATTTCACATAAATTTAACTGTAGAGTATAAAAACCGAACAAACCGAACCGAACCGCACCGAACCGACTTGTAACGGTTCGGTTCGGTTTTGAATATTAGGCGGTTCGGTTCGGTTGTTCAAATTTTGGTAAAAACCGACCCGAACCGAACCGTGCACACCCCTAATCAGTCGACTGATAAACTGCTCTGCAATTACTAAAAAGTTTCTCCTCAGTCAACCGACCTTCATCAGTCTAAAAGTGCCATAGAGGGGGATTTAATAGGTTAATTGCTAATCTAATCCGATATTAATGCCAAATTAGAACTTATTAACAAATATCCTAACAATTTATGATATACAACAATATATGTGCAAGGATATGCAATTAAACAACGGGTGATATAAACATGAACACAAGATATAAGAGAGATAGTGCACAAGTGATAATCGCAAACACAAGGTAAATGATCACGAAGTTCGGTCGACCCACAACCTACGTCTCCACTCCTCACCCTCAAGGAGAATCTCCACTATCTTAAAAATAACTACACAATTCGATTTTCAACGTTCACCAATAATGTTTACAATCTCACACAATTATTAATACATAATACACTCCTCTAAGTGTTGGCCTAGTCCGTGTCACCTTTCTCAAGTGCTCAAAATTACTACATCTCCCTAAGATTTATAACCGATGCCACTCCTCTTGGAATTGACTCGTCTCTCATCAACCACTTCTCTAAGTATCTTTGTGTATTACAATGTATTTTCTCAATAATAAGGCTCAAATATAAATGATTTGTTCTACAACAAGAATGAGAATGAAATTAAGCTCACGCCCAATGAATCACTCACCACAACCCAAATTATACTTAATGTGAAATAATAAAAGCTTAATAGGTTGTGTGTGTAATCAATGAGTAATAAGATATATAAACTCAATTAAAAATCTAGCTTATTGAAATGATAACCAAAATATAATTGCTAGAGATTGAGTTTAGAAAAACTTCTCTAAAAATAAGAGAGATGGAGATATGAAATTGAAGCTTAAACCGAAATTATCTCCTCTTCTTTTGAAACTCTCTTCACATAAACAATATACTTAAAAACCTTTAAACAAACTTGCAAAACCTTTTTTTTAAACTTTTTTAGATAAATCAAAATGTTGAGGCTAAAGGGTATATAGGTTCCAAGAACAAACCCTAAAAACCCAGAAAAAACCAACAAAAACATCAAAATCCCTAAAAATCAGGAAACTGAAAACAAGCCATTATAGTAGCTGTTAGTCGACTGATGAGCTGACCGTTGGCTACCGCTCAAAACCCGTCGGTCGACTGATGAGCTGCTTCGGTCGACTGATGGAGATCAGTCGACTGAGCAAAAAAAAATAGCAATTCCAGCGGGTTTCTTCAGTCAACTAATGACTCTTGTCAGTTTACTGAAAACATGCACATGGACAGTTTTGCATAGTAAAATTAATTTTCAAAGAGTTTTTAAAAATAGCAAATAAATTCTAAAAATTATAAAAATTGGGAAAATGTTTCTAATCATGAAAATTGTCATGTTACAAAAGAATTTTTTTAAATATAATTTTTCGTTAGTAAAAACTCATCATTTTGTAAAATTTTAAAAAATACGTGTTCGTTAAAACACTTGATTTTGATAAAATGACTTAAACCAAATTTTAAAATCTTTTGAATGGTTTTATAGACTTAGGAAAAGATGTAAAAAAAATACCCCCAATAATATACGCAACTATGTTGCGTATACTGTTGGGGGTATTTTTTTTTGTTTAGTCCATAAACCAAGAACGTAATATTTTCTAAAAAATACACATATTATGATAAAAAAAATACCGTGTGTATAAAATTGAGCTTAAATTATTATCACACAACATATAACTCCTAAACAAATATACTAAAGTAGATTGTGTATGAAGCTTGCTCTTGAATCTTTGACTTAAATTGCATCAGCTCCATTAAAATATTATCGATATGGCGCAAGTCTACTCAACCTGGATATATATATCGGAGAAACAAAAATACTAGAAAACACGATTATAAATTGTTTGTTAATCATCAAAACTAGATTAGATAGTAGGCTCATAAACATGAGTCCTAACAATCTCCTTCTTTTTTATGATGACAAACAATTTTCTCAATAGATTAAAAAAATATAAAATGCACAAATAAAAAGTTCACTACTCACTTGTTTCTCCCCCGTTGGCAACATGAAAATGGGGAAATCAACAAAATAAAAAGAGAGCGAATGCTCCCCCTACCTATAAACATGGGTGAGTGTAATCATAATAGGGATCATTCCCCCTATCAAAATGACATATAAGATGTATGCAATGATTATTGAGGCAATACATATAAAAGAAATCAAACAAGCTTAAAACACTTTTTTCTCCCTCTATTATAAGCATTTTTTGCATCACAAAAGAATATATGCATGATAGTTGTGTGTACAAACATAAATCACTAACCACATAAAATAATAAACAAATCTTCAATGGCAATGAAATGATAATCCAAACATCATTCAGAAATATTCATGAAAGAAAACTCACAAAGAAAAATTATGAAAATCCATGAATAAATCATAATATCAAATAAAAATTCATGAATTAATTTATGAAAATTCATGAAAGAAAATTCATAAAATTCATGAAAACCCATAAATTTATGAGATGATTTAAAATCCAAATGTAGGCCAACAAATTTATGCAAACATCAATTTTTGAAGGAGATAAGAAATGATCAAGCAAATATTTGAATCAAATGATAAGCATGCCCAAATCACCTCTTATAAAACATTCTCTTGGCATTTGAAATAGTTTGAAAACTTTAAAACTTACAAATATAAAATACATATAAGAATTTGACTCTATCCTTACAACTAGTGCAAAGGATTCGTCACAATCAATGCTCTCAAAGAAAAAACTAACAAACAATCATAATACAAACAATCATAATATACTAACAAGTTCATTGGGAAGATATAAAGTGAATCTTAAAATATTTGAAAGGCAGTTTCAGATTGTGTTTGAGTTATAGAGGTTCGAAGGCGTTATTATATGGTGTTGAAGAAGCAGATATGACAGGTGATCTCGATCACATGAAGTCTACCTCAGGTTAGTTGTTCACTTTTACAGGGGGAGTAATATCTTAACAGTCCAGGTTACAGAAGTGTGTTGCTTTATCTACAACAGAAGGGAAATATATTGTAACTGTAGAAGCCGGTAAGGAGATGACTTGGCGGAGAAGATTTCTGCAGGAGTTAAGCTTGCAACAGGACAATTATCAAATCTTCATTGATAGTCAAAGTGCTCTTGATTTAAGCAAGAACTCTACTTTTCACTCCAGGACAAACTATATTGATGTGAGATATCATTGGCTTAGAGAAGCCGATTCAGAAAGAGGAGCAAAAGCTACAGAATATTCACACAGATAAAAATCCAGCAGATTTTTTAACGAAGACCGTTTCCAAAAAGAAGACCGAGTTGTGTCGGTGATTGAACCGGCATGAACTCCCGTTGAGGAGTTATAGATTGGCTACCCCCTCGTTGGGCTGGATGAGGAGATTGTTGTGGGTCCAACTCAAGATAAGTCCCACATGAGGTCCTCATGAATTAAAATTCTATTTAGAAGAGGATTTGAAGGATCTAGTTGTAATAGGAATAAGTTTGGAGAACCTGAAAATAAAATTACTTTATAAATAAATTCTATTCATGAGAAACCTGTAATTTTTTTTGGTGCTACAATAAACCGTGAACAGTAACCCGAGAGAGAAAAGTGGGGAGAGAGGAGAGAGATAGAGAGTGTGTGTGTGAGATTTCGGATAGCTCGGTTGTCCGATTATAGTGATTCAAAAACCGTTGTATTTAGAACGACGACGTCGTCAAGAGTATGGTGTTGGTTTCTCTGTGGGTGTTGGAAATTTTTGGTGAGACGGGTTTTAGGGTTTTGATGCCCTAGAGGTAATATTGTATTTTTTTTTCTTGTGATTTAATCCTCAAGTTCAGGTGGAACTTGAAGAGATTGTACTCTTGATTCATAGTAAAGTATTTATCTCTGGATTGCCCCGTGAACGTAGGCACAATTTGCCGAACTACGTTAAATCTTGGTGTTTGCTTGATTGTGCTATTTTAATTGGTGTCGTTATTCGTTTAGTGTTTAATTCCGCAGATTAATCTCGATAAAATCCCAAACACACTTCCCACATTCTGATGCGTTACTATTTATGTCACTTTCAAATTATTTGCAACGTCACTTTCAAATTACTTGCGGTGTCACGAAATATCCTAAAAAAAAAATTCATTTGTATTGGTTTATTAGTTAATGATGTAGGAGATACTGAATACAAGTTTTCAACCCGATTAACAAAATGAACTATCAGGAACTACAAGCAAAAATATTTGCTCATTCTGATGTGAGTAACTGTTAAATCTCACCACTAGTCTGTCTTTTGTGGTTCATTTAATAAAACTCTTATTTTCATACTATTTATTTATTAAAACCCTCGACTAAATATAATATTTATGAGATTCATTTTTTAGGTTTCTAGGGGTTAATCTATAAATTTATGAAGTTAGAGTTCTTTTTTTTAATTTGTGAAATTTCATGGTACTTCCTGCAAAATTTATGGCTTCTTCATTAATAAAATTTGTTTGTTTTTTTTTTTTTTTTGATGGAAAAACAAGGGATGGACCCTGTTCATTTAATAAAAATATAAGTGTCTTACAAAAGTTGGATACGAAATGTATCCGTCAGTTGATAGATAGAAAACTTAATTTCTCTTAACCATTGATGTATAACCTTCTTCTCCTAAACATCCATGAAGATGAAGAGAGGGCATTGCCGTCATTCATCGTTGACATAGATATAAAGGAGAACCAAAGCCGGCCATACATGTAGCAAAAGAGAAATTAAATTTTCTATAAATCAAACAGAAGACAAGATAACACTGACAAAAGTATATATGTACATCACACTTAGACAAATCCAGATTTCTTAGCTGCTGCTGCGAGGGATTGGTTTTGCTTTGAACACTTTTGCCAACTGATAAGCTTCCTTCCTTCTTC